TTCTAGCCACAGTGATCAGACAAGAAGAAACAAAAAAGGCATCCAAATTGGAAAGAAGTAAAACTCATATTTCACAGATGACATATACATTGAAAAACCTAAGGACTCCACCAAAAAACTACTAGATTTAATAAATTTATTTAGCAATGTATCAGGATACATAATGAACACTTAAAGATTGGCTTTTTAAAAATCCTATCCTAATATATAAAAGGCCAGGGTTTTAACCACTGATCACTACCCAAGGCTGACCAACCCTGAAGTCCTTCAGTCAGCACTGGGTTGCCATGGCGACCCAGCACTGACTGCCCAAGGGGCTGAGACCCAGAGAGAGAGGCAGGGTCTGATTCCCCGTCTCAGTGGCAGCTGTTGGTCAGTACTTGCCTCTTTCTTTCTCTCCCTCTTTCTTTCTGAGCTTCGCCAGCAGCTGGGCTTTTCTCTCTCTCCTGGCCTCTGGGGGGCTGCTGTTCAGCCCTGCCACTCTAATCAAGCCCACAGATAGGCCTGGATATGCTGACTGGCATAGAACTGACCAATCAGAACCAAATGTGGGTGCTGTGAAAAACCAATGGCTGTCTAGGAGTCGAAGCTTTTGACACTGACTGGCATAAGAACCGACCAATCAGAACCAAATCTGGGTGCTGTTGGGGAGCCAATGGCTGCCTAGGAGGCAGAGGTTTAGATACTGACTGGCATAGAAACCGACCAATCACTTTTTCCCTGCTTATAGCTCTCGTAGACATGGTGAATGTTCTTAAAACCCACTGAACTTTCTGTAGGAAGTGTGGCAAGCATCAACCCCACAAAGTAACACAGTATAAGAAGGGCAAGGATTCTCTGTATGCACAGGAAAAGCGGCATTATGACAGAAAGCAAGGTGGGTATGGTAGACAGACTAAGCCGATTTTCTGAATAAAGGCTAAAACTACAAAGAAGATTGTGCTGAGGCTTGAATGCATTGAGCCTAACTGCAGATCTAAGAGAATGCTGGCTATTAAGAGATGCAAGCATTTTGAATTGGGTGGAGATAAGAAGAGAAAGGGCCAAGTGATCCAGTTCTAAGCTTCATATTCTGTTTGATTATAAGACAATAAAATCATGGTGTGTTCAAAAAAAAGAAAGGAAGGAAGGAAGGAAGGAAGGAAGGAAGGAAGGAAGGCAGGAAGGAAGAAAAAGAAACCGACCAAGCAGAACCAAACCTGGGTGCTGTGGGGAGCCAATGGCTGCCTAGCAGGCGGAGCTTTTGATGCTGACTGGCATTGAAACCAACAAATCAGAACCAAATTGGCCAGGAGAGGCGGGCAGTTGGTGGCGAGATCAGCCCAGCAGGAGAGGGCAGTTAGGAGCAATCAGGCAGGCAGACAGGTGAGCAGCTAGGAGCCAGCAGTCCCAGATTGGGAGAGGGATGTCTGGCTGCCTGTTTAGGCCTGTTCCCACAGGTATCAGGCCTAAACTGGCAGTTGGACATTGGGCCTAAACTGGCAGTCAAACATCCCCCAAGGGGTCCCCAATTGGAGAGGGTGAAGATTGGGCTCAGGGAACCCCTGCTGCATGCACGAAATTCGTGCACCGGGCCTCTGATATAATAAATAAAAGCCTAATATGCAAATTGATCAAACGGTGGAATGACCAGTGGAACGACTGGTCACTGTGATGCGCACTGACCACCAGGAGGCAGCACTCAATGCCGGAGCTGCCCCCAGCCTGCAGGCTCCAGGTCAGCCAAGGCGGGTGCCAGCTGGGGCCCCCTGATCATCCTGCCAGTTGCCCTGCAGAGGGAGGCAACCAGCAGCAGCAGCGGGGCAATCAAGGGGTAGAGCCAGATGGAGAGTGGGTGGCATCACCTCCTGATCACCCCGCCGGTCGCCTCCCACAGAGGGAGGTGACTGGTGGCTGTGGCAGGGGGACATGGCTGGTGAGTGGTTGGCACCAGGCTGGCCAGGCATGCCAGCAGGGGCCCCCAATTGCCCCACCGGTTGCCCCACAGATAGGCCCTGATCGCCAGCCAGGCCTAGGGATCCTACCTGTGCACGAATATCATGCACCGGGCCTCTAGTACACCAATAATGAAATTTCAGGAAGAAAAACTAAACAAACTAAACAATCCCTTTTACCGTTGCAGTAAAAAATTAAGATACTTAGGAATAAAGTTAACCAAGGAGTTAAAAGACTTGTACTCAGAAAAGTACAGGATATTGAAAAAATATATAGAGGAAGATATAGTGTGTTCATGGATTGGTAGAATTAACATTATTTTTATTTTAAATATATTCTATTGATTTTTTACAGAGAGGAAGGGAGAGGGATAGAGAGTCAGAAACATTGATGAGAGAGAAACATCGATTAGCTGCCTCCTGCACACCCCCCACTGGGGACGTGCCCACAACCAAGGTACATGCCCTTGACCGGAATCGAACCCAGGACCCTTTAGTATGCAAGCTGACACTCTATCCACTGAGCAAACTGGTAAGGGCTAGAATTAACATTATTAAAATATGCATACTACCCAAGGCAATCTACAGATTCAATGCAATCCCTATTAAAATGTCCATGGCATATTTCACAGATCTAGAACAAATGCTCTAAAAATTTATCTGGAACCATAAAATATCCCAAATAGCCACAAAAATCTTGAGAAATAAGCACAAAGTTGGGGGGATCACAATACCAAATATCAAGTTATACTGCAAAGCCACTGTAATCAAAACAGCCTGGTACTGGCGCAAGAACAGGCATATAAGTCAGTGGAAAAGAACAGAGACCCCAGAAATCAGCCCAAGCCATTATGCTCGATTAATATTTGACAAAGGAGGCAATAGCATACCATGGAGTCAAGACTGTCTCTTCAATAAATGGTGTTGGAAATTGGACAGATACATGCAAAAAAATGAAACTAGCCCATCAACTTACAACATACACAAGAATAAACTCAAAATGAATAAAAGACTTCAATGTACTTTGTGAAACCATAACAATCCTAGGAAAAAAATGTAGGTAGCAAAATATCAGACAACTCTCATAATAATGTTTACCAATATATCTCCAAGGGCAAAGGAAACTAAGGAGAAAATAAACAAATGGGACTACATCATAGTAAAAAGCTTCTGCACAGCAAAAGAAACAATCGGCAAAATGAAAAGGGGGGCCACTCTATGGGAGAACATATTTGGCAATGATACATCTGATAAAGGATTAATCTCCAAAATATATAAGGAACTCATACAACTTAAGAAAAGGAAGACAATCCATTTAAAAATGGGAAAGGGCCTGAATAGACACTTTTCCAAAGTGGACGTCCAGATACATATGAAAAAATGCTCAATGTCACTAATTGCTATAGAGATGCAAATTAAAACAACAATGAGGTATCAGCTCATACCTATCAGAGTGGCTGTCATCAATAAACCAAAAAATGACAAGCGCTGGTGAGGTCATGGAGAAAAAGGAACCCTTGAACACTGTTGGAGAGAATGCAGATTGGTGCAGCTACTGTAGAAAGCAGTATGGAGTTACCTCAAAAAATTAAAAATGGAACTACCATTTGACCCACTTCTAGGAATATATCCCAAGAAACCAAAAATGCCAATCAGAAAGAAAGTATGCACACCTACTGGTATATTCATAGCAGCACAATTTACAATAGCTAGGATCTGGAAACAGAATTTTGGGGAGAAAAAGGAACTCAAGTACATTGTTGATGGTGTAGGTTAATGCATAAAAATCTGGTACATTTACATGATGGAATACTATGTAGAAGTAAAAGAAAAGCATCTCTTACCCTTTGAGACAGCATGAAGGGATCTGGAGAGTATTATGCTAAGTGAAATAAGCCAGTCAGAGAAAGACAAGTATCTCATGATCTCAAATGTGGAATCTAATAAAATAAATTTATGGACCAAATAGGTCCAGTGGCATAGAAGCATGGAACAGACTGATTAATCTCAGAGGGAAGACACAGGTGGGTGGGTAAGTGGGGAGAGATTAAACAAATTGTATGCGTAGCCCATGGACACAGACAATAGTTTGGTGAACGCCTGGATGGGGGGTGCAGGGTGGAGGAGGCCAATGGGGTTAAAAATGGACATCTGTAATATTTTCAACAATAAAGATAAAATTTTAAATGTACTTCTGATAACCTTAAAATAGTTGCTAATACTTTTGCATAATAATAATAGCCATCATGTTTTGAGTGCTCAATAATTAAATAATTTGTCAAATACTTTATGTCCTTAATATATATGATTTAATGACTGAAAAAATCCTTTGAGGTAAGCACTATTATTATTTCCAAATGACATCTATTAAATGGAAATCATAGTGACCTTGCCAAAAAGTTTATGAGAAACATATCCAGAGAATTATAAAGAAATTTTAACATATGAAGTATCTGCAAATATAATACTCTGGCTAATGGTCATCAGTGTACCAAAAGGAAAACCAGAGTAAATGAAAAAAGGGTTGCAACATTATTGTTTTATTGTTGACCTATACTTACTGAATGTAGTTTTTGTTGTAAGAAAAATTTAATTTTAATAATAGTAAGTAATACATAGTTTAAAACCTGTGGGATTATGCATCAGAATATTTCACGTGGTTTTAAAAATCAGTTCATATTGCTTTAGGTAGAACATAGAAAACATATTTATGAATTATGAGTAAGAACAAGCCAGGATTCAATTAACGTGGGTCTTTTTTTCCCCTTTGCAGCAACAATTCTGGGCCTATCAATAGCATGTTTGAAATTCACATTCTAGACCACCTTTTGGGTGCAATTTGATCACCCAGGAAGAATGGAGCAAAGAATGATCTTGAAAGCTACATCCAAAGACCTAATTTCAAGAATGCATTGTATGTCTTCCCATAAATGTGCTAAAAGTTTCTGCAGATATAAAAACGGCAGCAAAAGTGCTAGCCATATGCTTTCCCTTACCCAGAGAGTTACAAGAACAAATGGCCTAGATGACCTACACTGTTTTTCTCCTCAAAAAATATTCCACATTTTATGAAACTAGTATACTATAAAGAAGATCCACATAAACTTGATAAAGTGATATGATTGGGGAGGTGCATGGATACTGGTGTTATTGAAGACACAGATATAGCAAGTTGATTATTTCTAGTTTTACTGAATTATTGTCACTTATTTCTAGGTGTGTGTTTGTTTTGTTTTTTGTTTGTTTGTTTTTGGTAGATTTGATATTTAGAGAGTTTCCTTTGTTATTCACCATTCACTATGATATCATAGTTTGAGAGAGGTGTTTACCTTCCCACTTGACTATTTAGTAAATTGATGTGTTTGTTTTTGCATCTCATAATCCCTTGGATGAAATAATAACTAATACTAATAGTATTTTGTTTTTGTTGTTTGTTTTCAATTTCCTCCTCTCTATTTGGCATTAGAAAAGGCTATTGAAAATAAGGGAGAAATGTTTTTGTTTCATATTTCCTTGAAATGTTCTTATGCTTAATATGTTTTATAATTAAATATTCAGTTTAGACCCTGAAACTGGTAACCCATTTTTGATTTGTTTAATAAATACGTGTTTCCACTTTTAGCAGTACTATGTAGGGAATTTAATTTTGTGTGAAAAAGACTGTGTGAATGAGGTTAAAACTCTTGGAGTTCACAATGGTAGACCCTGGAATTGTATAGCAATGTGCATGAAATGCTAAAAATACATGTAAATAGAGACTTAATGTCTGTAGGGCATTAATGAAACACTGAGAATTCAAGTTCAAACAGCTGGGAAATTACAAGTGTACTGTTTACATTTGTAATTCTGGCTTAATGAGTTGCCGTTTTTTAAGGAAACTGCTTAAAGCCCTTAAGAATTCACGTTTATGGAGCTCAGAACACTATCTAAATGTGGATATTCCTCTTAGAAATCACAGTGATAGACCCTGGAATTGTCAAGAAATGTATATGAAACACTTGGATTAAAAGTAAGTAGAGCCTTAATATCTGTAGGGCAGTACTGCAACACTGAATTCAAGTTCAAACAGCTGGTAAATTATGAGTGTACTGTTAACATTCATAATTCTGAGTTATTGAGTTGGCTTTTTTTATGGAAAGTAATTAAAACTCTTAAGATTTCAAGTCTATATAGCTTAGAACACTATGTGAATGAGGTTAAAACTCTTAGAGTTCACAATGGTAGACCCTGGAAATGTATAGGAATGTGTATGAAACACTAAAAATACATGTAAGTAGAGACTTAATGTCTGTAGGACAGTACTGAAACACAAAAAATAAAAGTTCAAACAGCTGGGAAATTACGCGTGTACTGTTTACATTTATAATTCCAAGTTAGTGACTTGGTGTTTTAAAGGAAAGTGATTAAAACCCTCAAGAATTCAATTCTATAGAGCTTAGAACACTATGTGAATGAGGTTAAAACTCAGAGTTCACAATGGTAGACCCTGGAAATGTATAGGAATCTGTATGAAATGCTAAAAATACATGTAAATAGAGACTTAATGTCTGTAGGGCAGTACTGAAACACTGAGAATTCAAGTTCACAAAGCTGGGAAATTATGAGTGTACTGTTTACATTTATAATTCCAGTTCAATTAGTAGGCGTTTTTTAAGGAAACTGGTTAAAGCCCTTAAGAATTCACATTTATGGAGCTCAGAACACTATCTAAATGTAGATATTCCTCTTAGAAATCACAGTGATAGACCCTGGAATTGTCTAGAAATATATATGAAACACTGGATTACAAGTAAATAGAGCCTTAATATCTGTAAGCCAGTACTACAACACAGAATTCAAGTTCAAACAGCTGGGAAATTACGAGTGTACAGCTTAAATTCATAATTCCAAGAAATGAGTTGGCGTTTTTTAAGGAAAGTGATTAAAACTCTTAAGATTTCAAGATAGCAGCACAATTTATAATAGCTAAGATTTGGAAACAGCCTAAGTGCCCATCAGCAGATGAGTGGATTAGGAAACCATGGTACATCTACACAATGGAATACTATGCTGCTGTAAAAAAAAAAAAAAAAAAAGGGGAAGTCTTACCATTTGCAGCAGCATGGATGGAACTGGAGAGCATTATGCTAAGCAAAAGAAGCCAGTCAGAGAAAGATAAATATCACATGATCTCACTCATTTGTGGAATATAATGAACAACATAAACTGATGAACAATAATAGAACCAGAGGCATAGAATCATCGAACAGACTGTCCAAACTATGAGGGAAGGTGGGGATTGAGGGGGTAAGAGATCAACCAAAGGACTTGTATGCATGCATATGAGCATAACCAATGGACACAGACGGGAGGGTTTGCGGGATGGTGTGGTGAGGGTATGTGCTGGGGGGGGAGGACTGTTGGGGAGAGGTCAATGGGGGGAAAAGGAGACTTATGTAATACTTTAAACAATAAAGAATTTAAATTTAAAAAAAGAGTAAAGTTGGAAGGATCACAATACCAGATATCAAGCTATACTACAAAGCCATGGTTCTCAAAACTGCCTTGTATTGGCACAAGAACAGACATATAATCAATGGAACAGAACAGAGAACCCAGAAGTCTACCTAAGCCATTATGCTCAATTAATATTTGACAAAGGAGGCAAGAGCATATAGTAATGGAGTCAAGACCGTCTCTTCAATAAATGGTGTTGGGAAAATTGGACAGGTACATGCAAAAAATAAAACTAGACCACCAATTTATAGGAAGGGTTAAGAGATCAACCAGAGGACATGTACGCATGTATATAAGCATAACCAATGGACACAGACACTAGGGGGGTGAGGGCATGTGCTGGAGGGTGGGGACTGTTGGGGAGAGGTCAATGGGGGGAAAAGGAGACTTATGTAATACTTTAAACAATAAAGAATTTAAATTTAAAAAAAGAGTAAAGTTGGAAGGATCACAATACCAGATATCAAGTTATACTACAAAGCCACTGTAATCAAAAGAGCCTGGTACTGGCACAAGAACAGGCATTTAGATCAATGGAAAAAACACACAAAGCAAAACAGCCCAGAAATCAACCCAAGCCAATACACTCCATTAATATTTGAAAAAAAAAGAGGCAAGAACATACAAGGGAGTCAAGACAGTCTCTTCAATAAATGGTGTTGAGAAAATTGGACAGATTTATACAAAAAATGAAATTAGACTACCAACTTATACCATAAATAAAAATGAACTGAAAATTTTTATAAAAGACTTAAATATAAATTGTGAAACCATAAAAATCCTAGATGAAACCATAGGCAACAAATTCTGACATCTCTTGTAGCAATATGTTTGCTGCTACATCTCAAAGGAAACTAAGGAGAAAATAAACAAATGGGACGACATTAAGGTAAAAAGCATATGCACAGCAAAAGAAACCATCAACAAAACAAAAAGGCAGCGCACTGTATGGGAGAACATACTTGGCAATGATACATCTGATAAGGGGTTAATTTCCAAACTATATAATGAACTCATACAACTTAATAAAAGGGAGACAAATAATCCAATTTTTAAAATGGGCAAAGGACCTAAATACACACTTTCCCAAGTGGACATACAAATGGCCAAGAGAAATATGAAAAAATGCTCAAAGTCACTAACCATCAGAGAGATGCAAATTAAAACAACAATGAGTTATCTCACAACTGACAGAATGGCTACCATCAACAAATCAACAAATGACAAGTGCTGGAGAGGATGTGGAGAGAAGGGAACCCTAGTGCACTGTTGGTGGGAATGCAGACTGTTGCAGCCACTATGGAAAACAATATGGAGTTTCCTTAAAAAATTATAGAAATTCCATTTGACCCAGTGACCTACTTCTAGGAATATATCCTAAGAAACCTGAAACACCAATCAGAAAGACTATATGCAACCCTATGTTCACATCAGCACAATTTGCAATAGCTAAGATCTGAAAACAGCCCAAGTGCCCATCAGTAGATGAGTGGATAAAAAAGCTGTGATATATCTATACCATAGAATACTATGCAGTAGTAAAAAAGAAGGATATCTTATCATTTGAGACAGCATGGAGGGAATTGTAGAATATTATGCTAAGCAAAATAAGCCCACCAGAGAAGAATAAGTATCACATGATCTCACTCATGTGATACTATAGAACAAAATAAATGGATGAACAAAATAGACTCAAAGACATAGAAGCATGGAACAGACTGTCAAATTTTAGAGGGAAGTCAGGGTGGGTGGATGGGAAGAGATTAACCAAATAACTTGTAACCCAGGGACACAAACAATAGCGTGGTGAAGGCCTGGGGCATGGAGTGTGTGTGGGCTAGAAGAGGTCAATGGGGGGAAAAGGGGATATCTGTAATACATTCAACAATAAAGATAACTTAAAATTAAGTTATTAACTTCTTAGTTCAGTTCAAGATCCTCTACATTCAGAGCCCCACATACCTGCCATTATTATCACTTGCTTTCTTCTTTCGAAGCAAGGTTGATAGGCAATTTCTCAACCTTGAGCCTTGCCTTTTTCAACCATGCCATTGAGTATGCTTTTCCCTATAAATGCATTGTCTTCCATCCTAAGCCTTTTTCCATCCTGAAGTCTTCTCCCATGGCTCCACAATGGAAGTGATTTCCCTTTACTCTGAATTCCTATACCAAAAACCTTATGTATTTTAATCACTGTCCATTAAACTTCAAATGCCTTTGAGAGAAAAACTTTATTCATTATTGTGCCTAGCATGCATTCTTATGAAGACTGGGTAATCAATACATATTTGTCACTTGAGTTTATGAAATTAACATGGGTTTTAAAAATAAAATTTTAAAGTATAAACAAAAATTATATTCAGTCAATACAAACCAGTACAGTCATACTAAGTTGTAAAATATTTAAATACTTCCCTACCATTGCCCCTTGCCACCTGAATACTTCCCACTACCATTGGTGGCCAGGTCTCTCTGCCCCTGAAAGCATCTGGACTCCCACAATCTCCCAACTAAACACTTGATGTCTTACACAACTGGGAACACACAGGACACTGTTCCAACCATGTGGCCAGAGTCAACTGATGGAAATATCCATTCTGACTGATCTAGACCTGTGCAGTGTCACTGTTTAAATCTTTTGATAATTATCCCTGATTATAAATAAAGTTTAATTATACAATTTGAAAACAGTGCTTCTCCTCATTGCAAAATCTTTTTAAAAGAGCAAATTCAGGAATAGACAAGGAAAATGATACTTTGTCAGTTCCTAAAGATTTAGGATACATTCATTAGGACTCCGTCTTCATGTACACCAGAAGGTAGGCAGTTTCCCGCCTAGAAATAAAAAAAAAATGCAACATCATAGCAGAAATGCAACATTCATAGTTAACTGATACATTATTAATTCACAGTAGGAAAAAAGTCAACAAACTTTCCAGGTTGTTGGATAAAGTGTTCATCTATCCATCACCCCAGAGGAAAACAAAATGTGTGACCTAGGAAAATAACAACTAACCTGCAGTTAGTTAACATCTAAATCAGGGGTTGACAAACTAGGAATCCATGAGTCAAATCCGATCCTATATTTGCAAATAAATTTAATTGGAACACAGCTATGCTCATTCATTCATAAGTTATCTGTAGTTGCTTTTGACTACAAAGATAGAGTTGAATAGTTGCAACAGAAATTGGCCCACAAAGCCTAAAATATTTATTCTCTGGCACTTTATAGAGAAAGTTTGCCAAACTGTTACTTAAATAATGGGGAAGTCGCTGGCAACCAGAAAGTGACAAAAAGTGAGCATTCAAAGGAGGTGGTTATAAGAAAGTAGAAAAAAGGAACATTGGAGAAGGATTTCAAACACAAATTCTAGCTCATTCATTATTTTTCAAATGATCCGGCCTACTTCTGTGGCTAAAATCATCTCAAATATCACCCTAACCCAGAAACTCAGCTGGGAAAACTTATAAAATCTCTTATTTAATTTCACCCAGCTTTTTTTCTTTCCAGTTTCCTCTCTGTAGTTATTGATTTCTAAAAAATAGTTATTGATATTTACTAACACAAGCCACTGCACCAGACAAAGAAAGAGAAAATGAGTGATCGATCCTTGCCCCCAAAGAGTTTGTGGTCTAATGTGAAAATTACATAAACAAAAATGACAAAAGAGTGTGACCCTTTCTATAAAAGAAGTATGCTCAAAACGCAGTGAAAGCACTGAGAAGCCCCTACAGACATACCTGGGTAAATCAGTAAAAGGCATTAAAAGAGTAGGAAAAGACCATGATCAGAGGTACTGAAGTATGGATAGGACTTTGCCTTTATGATAAGTTAAGAGAGGGTAATACTGGCCGAACTGCATGTGCAAAGTCATGAGGGAAAAATGGAGGATCTGATGTTTGGGGAGCAACGTACTCTTTAGTTATTGTTGGAGTCTAAATTGTGAGAAAATATGGTGCAATGGGATGGGTATTGAAAGATGAGGCTGGCCAGTTAGTCACTGAGGAGTTATGTAAATATAAGGGGCAGTTGAATCCATGAGAGTGTCACGCAGCAACAAGAATCCTGTGTAAGCTCATTGGTTTCCATCACTAACACTTCTCTTACCAGCGGCAGTTATGATTTCCATAGGTACATTGGATATCTTCCCAGGATACCTGGAAGTATATAACATAGAAAGTGAAGCAACCAGCTGACATCTGTGAAGCATCCAGAGAGTACAGGGTGCTACATTCTGCCCTCCCTCACTCTTTCAGATAAACCTACCCCTAGTAACTCCCAAAACCCACAGCATCTAGTGATAAATGCCATGTAAATGAAATTTCTTTCAGTACCCTTGTCCCTCTGTTTACACTTGGTTATGTTCAGCCCAGAGTTCTAACTTCATATTTCTAACTTTTCTTGCTTTCCATAAATTTCCCACAGAGCTTGAAGGCACTGAGCTTAGAACATCAAAAATATAGACATTGAGCTAAGTGGACTCTTAGAGACCATTTGGACACTTCATGCAGAAAACAGCTTTCAAGCTCATAAAATGTCCCACACACAGAGAACAATAATGTGGCTTACTTGACCTTGAGGAGCCATCTAGCCCTGAGCTCAGAATATAGCAGAGGTAGCTAATCTAGGGCAAGAGGCAATTTAGATGATGTTCCTTACCCAACAAACACTGGAATCATTGAAACAGAACCATTTTCCATCTACAGAATTCCGGATATAGGCACAGTAATGACCAAAGTCAGGCATCCCCACATGGGCAATCACAGCAAAGAGTTCATATAGTCCTTCAAGCTGAAAGAACACAAAGCATAAAATTATTCACCCATCATCCTTCTTTTTCTAACCCTACTTTAAAATAAGGAAACATTTCATTACTTATTTATTCAGTGAGTACTCCATGCCAGGCCCTGGTACTTCAAGGGGACTAGAAAACATTCCTTGACTTCAATAATTTCACAGCTAAGTAAGCCAGAATTAGAATGTCATGTTTTATACCAGATGTATTTACAGGTAAATTCTGGAAAACTCAACTTTTGCACAAAAAAGGAAAAGGAACAACCAGCTGAGGAAAGGCTGAGGAGCTGGGGGAAAAGCTCTCCAGAGAAGACATGCTTGAAATGATCTTTTCCAGAATGAACAAGATTAGTAGACAAGTTATGGAAAGGGGGTATACTCAAAATGGACCCAGAAACTGCAAAGGTTCTGCAGCATAACATGGCAGAGCATATTAGGGAAAAGGAAGTCAGGGAGGGCACTGGGAAGTCCATAAGATTTGTGTTTGAGAAATGCACTGAAATAATGTGGTTTGAAAAATAGATTAAGAGTTCATGTGAGAAGGAAACCAATGAGACACGTTGGAGTACAATGATCGTGCAAGGGAGAAATGATAATAACCTGAATAATTAATATCAGTGTGAGCACTAAAATGATAATCATTATTGACATAATTATTAGCTAACTTTTAGCATTCACTATGCATTTGGCCAAGTTTTTACATGCATTATTTCATTTAATATTTACACAAGCCTATAAATCCTACTTTGCAGAGGTGAACTCTAAGCTCATGGGGGTAAAGTAATTTACCCAAAGTTCAAAAGAGGTAGGATTTCAACCCAGGCCAATCTGGTTTCAAAGCTCAAGCTTTTAAACCCTACACTACACTGAGGAAGTGGTAGTAAAGGTGGAGATGAGAAAACAGATTTGTGCAAAATTAAATGTACATTGTAACTGATTGGATGCAGAGATGGGGAGTAAGCCAAAGGCACTACAAAGATGAATCCCAGATTTTGGGAAGATGCTGGTACCATAAAATTAAATATGGAACAGAACTGTTTGGGAATTAAGATAATGAATTTGGGGACTGTGTAACAACATTCACTAGGAGATGAGTATACTTGTTTGGAGGTCAAGAGAGAGATCTGGACAGGAGATACATATTTACAAGTGTTCAGTTTGAGGTGATCATTGAAACTATGAGAATACGATGATATATAAAAAATGGGAGGAAAGAATAAAATTAAAACTAAATACCAACATGCCCAGCCTGTGTTGCTCAGTGGCTTGAGCATGGTCCCATGCACCAAGAGTTTGCTGGTTATGTTTCCAGTCAGGGCATATGCCAGGGATGCAAGCTTGATCCCCAGTAAAGGAGGTGCAGGAGGCAGCCAATCAATGTTTCTCTATTATCAATGTTCCTATCATCTCTCCCTTTCCCTTTCCCTCTCTCTAAAAAAATCAATTAAAAATAAAAATAAATAAATTACAAAAAAGGATGGGCATGAAAGGATCCAGAAAAAGAGAAAACTAGGGTAGATAAATTTTGGAGAAAAATAGGATCATTAGCACAATATCACAGAAATATCATGTAAGACCAAGAAGTATCCATTAGATTTGGCATTAAGTGATTCTATTCACTCAAACTTAGAAAGTCAAGATAAATAATTCTCTATGAAAAGAGGACAGTGGTAGGAAAGATAGAGTTTTGATTTATTATGAACAGGACCTCCATGTTAGTTAGGCATATTCTATTTTCCCAACCAGTCAAATAATGTTCCTGAGACTTAGAAACAGGATCAATGAAGCAGGACAGGGGTGAGGATAGTGCAAATGATGCTAAGTTACCTAAAGAGGGGCTCAAATTATTCTCTATTTTCATTTGGAGACTTTATGTTGGATTTTTAAAATGCAAGACAATTATCTAGATCTAACTACTTAGTTTGCAAGAAATACAAGGATAGAGGAACATGTTAAATCTCACTAACCAGCCAATGTTAGATATCTATTAAAAAAAACTCAACCAAATGAATTGCAAGGTAAAGAAAATGAGAGAAAACATGAAATATGAAACTTAACCTAAAAGAAGAAAGGAAGGGAGAGAGGAGGGAACAAACTTAAGCAAATGCACGTGCAGACCTTGTTTATATCTGGATTCAAACAAAACAAATTACAAGGCAGTCAGGGGAATCTGAATATTGTATGGATATTAGATTATATTAAGGAATTATGTGGTAGAATTGGTTATGTTTAGAAAAAGCATGTTAATTCTTTAGAGAGACAGTGAAATACTAATGAAATGGTGTAATATCTGGGTTTTACTTCAAAATAATCCAGGAGACTGTCAAGGAAAGAAGAGAATAAGGGTATAGATAAAGCAAGACTAGCCATGAGTTTTGGTAACTGTTTAAGCTGCTTGATGGACATGGGGATTCATTGCATAATTCATCACTACTTTAGAATATATTCAAAATTTTCCACAATTTTTTTTGTGGTTGTTGGGGTGTGTGTGTGTGTGTGTGTGTGTGTGTGTGTGTGCGGGGGAGGGGGGTATGTGTGTGATGTGGCAAGATTTATTCCAGTTGAAATAGAAGGCTGCCTGTGGGTTCCCAATGTCCCATCTCCCTCATCCCAAATTGGAAAAAATCCAATCTTGTCTTCATCAAGATCAAAACAAAGGCCAATATCCAGAGTTTCTGTTTCCTATTAAAGGTTAGTCCTTTGAAGCTCAGGAGGTCTGCCATGGGCCCTAGGCAGGGCTGCTAAACCTACATGGTTGCTATAGAGATAATACAGGAAAGAACAGATGAGTGCACATTATTGAGGGAGAGAGATAACTCTTTGTTCCCTGGGGTTATATGTTCTCAGGCTTGGGATGTACCAGGAGCTTTTTCAAAATAAACCACCAACTTCTCAAGCTTTCCCAAGCTTGCACTGGGCCTGCCTCCTGATCAATCCATTCTTTCTCCAGGTTAGATGGACAGGTCTCTATGGTCAAGCACCTCTCCTTGCATCATTTTGACTTCTAAGGCATGTGCTTACCTCCACTTTCATTATTCTATCCCTTTTCCCAGTGACCTGCAGGGGAACAAATCTGGGGTTCCCTGGGGAGTGTTGTAGAAAAATTTTTTAGATATACTTCATCAGGTAAACTGTGCAAGTAAAAATAAACAAAACTAGGGGAAAAATGAGAATCCTATAAAGTGTATATGCCCTGAATTGATAAAGAAACTATATTATAATATAAGCTATTCTAACATATTATCAGGCCTCAATATTTAAAATACTAGAGCATGAATAGTAAACAGACCACTGGAAAAAAACAGTTCAGAAATGGGTATATACAGCTAAAAGTAGAATATGCTAAATGTATAATTTCAAACGTATAGAGAAAATATATTTATGTCACTTTTTTTCTTATAATTTTTCAATAAGTTATTAGCTCAGGACAGTTGAATTCAACTTTATTTTGATTAAATTTGGTCCAATGTACTGGACACTTCCTTATTACCCTCAAAGTGGACATAAGCTGCTTTAAGAAGAAAACTTGGTTGGTGTTATATTTAGAGCCCATTGTGTTTACCTTTGTACATGTAAGTACTACACATCTTATTAAAAGGAAGGTCCTGAATTATGGGTTCTTTCCCTCAGGTTCCTACTCCCCATGCTATGAGCTATATGAGTACAAACCCAATATTTATAAATATAGTCTTTTGAATCTTTAAGAAAGACAACTATAAAGAGCAAATGAGGGTGGTGGTGATGATGGTGGTGGCATGGTGATAACAATTTGCCATTGTTGTTCAAAAACACACAGGTCTCAATCATTAAAATATTATTTTTAAAAATAAGTGTTTCTTGAATATATAAAAATGTTTCTATTACACCTTATTGGTGGTGAGTTTTCCTTCCTTTTTGTGTACCAAACATGAAGAGCAGAAGACATAATTTCTGAGATGAAAGAATGACACAGATGAGACACCCCAAAATGTCATTTGAATGTGTAACTTCAAGCAGCCTAGGGGAGATGGGCAAAATCAAAAGGACATAGTGTCTAATGAGATGACAGTGGACAGGAGGTGAGGAGCATGTCACCTGGTACTCAGCATTGCAGAGGTCGTTATCAGTCAGAAGAAACTGATTTAAATCCAAGCTCTGGGGGAAATACAGTGAGTGGCAGATTTTTTCTGTCCGTGAATTCCTGATGGAAAACCGCATAAGGTGGATTGTCAAGGTCTGGGGCAAATGCGTCAGCTTCAAGACCTACAAAAGCAAAATCACTGTGGAGATGAAATCCTAAGGCACTTGAAATGGGTAAATTCAGAGAAATACCACAGCAAAAGGTATGTTAAAAGGGAAGCAGATACATATCCCATGGATAAAGACAACAGTGTGGTTAAGGCCAGGGATAGGGTGGTAGGGGCTGGGTGAAGGTGGGAAAAGGGAGAGGAAGGGAATGGGGACATCTGTAATAGTGGAAACAATTGAAAAAATAAATAAGTCAATAAATAAATCTCTTCTTTTTTATAAAATATTTATTTTTATTTTTTCAAAATTAAACTTTTACTTATTTACTTTTAATTCTTTATTGTTAAAAGTATTACATATGCCTCCTTTTCCCCCCATTGTCCTCTCCCAGCCTAACCCACCCCCCGAGCCCAGGCCTTCACCTGCTATTGTCTGTGTCCATTGGTTATGCTTATATGCATACAAGTTCTTTGATTGATCTCTTACCACTCTCCCACTCGCCCACCCTCCCCTGCCTTCCCTTTGAGGTTTGATAGTCTGTTTGATGCTTCTATGTCTCTGGATATATTTTTGTTCATCACTTTATGTTGTTCATTATATTACACAAATGAGTGAGATCATGTGATACTTATCTTTCTCTGACTGGCTTATTTTGCTTAGCATAATGCTCTCCAGATCCATCATGTCGTTGCAAATGGTAAGAGTTCTTGCTTTTTTACAGCAGCATAGTATTTCACTATGTAGATGTACCACAGTTTTCTAACCCACTCATCTGCTGATGGGTCCTTCGACTGTTTCCAACTCATAGCTGCTTCTTCCATTCCCTTAAACATTGTGCTGCTATGGACATATGGGGTGCATATATTCTTTCTTATAGGTGTTTCTGGTTTCTTGGTATATATTCCTAGAAATGGGATTACTGGGCCAAACAGGAGTTCCATTTTTAATTTTTGAGGAAACTCCATACTATTTTTCACAGCTGCTGCACCAGTCTGCATTTCCAAGAGCAGTGTATGAGGGTTCCCTTTTCCCCACATCTTTGCCAGCACTTATCATTTGTTGATTTGTTGATGATAGCCATTCTGACATGTGTGAGATGGTACCTGATTGTTGTCTTGATTTGCATCTCTTGAATGATCAGTGACTTTGAGCATTTTTTCATATGTCTTTTGGCTTTCTGTATGTCCACTTTCAAAAAGTGCCTATTTAGGTTCTTTGCCCATTTTTTATTGGATTGTTTATTTTCCTTTTGTTAAGTTGTATAAGTTCCCTAAAAATTTTAGAGATTAACCCTTATCAGATGTAACATTGGCAAATATGTTCTCCCATGCAGTGGGCTCTCTTGTTATTTTGTTGATAGTTTCTTTTGCTGTTCAGAAGCTTTTTATTTTGATGTAGTCCCATATTGCTATGAGATATGTCTGATATTTTGCTGACTATGGATTCCTCTTCTTCCATTCCCTTAAATATACATTTGAGAGACTGCTTTCTCAGCTATGAGTGTTGTTAAATAAACATAGAAACAATTTAGATATACTACATTATCTCCTGCTACTGGCATTATCACCAATCCAACCTAGATAATTTAACAAGCAAAAAGTACATTCATCATGTTTAAAACTTTAAATATTGATAAACTTAAAATATTAAATATTGTTATAGCATTTAATATGAGAATTTCTGAATTTATTACCAACATTTTTAAAGTTGTTATGAGTGTGAAATGATAAAAAATTAAGTGTGTTAGCATTAGCAATCCTCTATTAATTATCTAAATGTACTTTCAGTGAACACAGTGCAGTTTCTGAAGCGTTATCTTTTATTCTAATTCTTTTCTGAAATGTCTGTTTAAACTACTAAAATACACGAGCTTGTAAAAGAAAAAGAGAGGGGGAGCATAATGATACAATACACAGTGGAGGTCCTATTGGCTGTTGAGTTCTCATGCAGAAGGCCTGAGCAGCCCAGATTCTGTACAGGCCTTGGAATCCAGGGCAACAATAGAATCTGCTCTTTGGAGTTAGTCTACTCTTGAGGAAAAAACTCTGCCCCTGCTCTAAGACCTTCTCTTCTTATCCTTAAAGGCTCTGTCCGTCTCAGTGATGTGATCTGAGGAGCCCTAGGATCCAGGGGCCCAATTAGGAATCCCTCCCTCAGTCCCCATGAGGTGCCTTGGTGACTCTGTGAAGTCTTTTGGGAAACCCTCGTGGGGCAACCTGGACTGGGGAAGAATCTGGTTCTTCCCCATGGGGTGTGTACCTGTTTCCCACGGGTCTTCTTCCCACAGTTCTCACAGAAACATCTGTCCTTGTTTGACAACTCCCTGGGCTGGAAGAAGCAGTGAAGGGCATCCTCCTGTCCCAGGAGAACAAAAAATAAAACAGGGTTGGCATTTCCCATCTAGAACACATCCCCTCACCCTGCAGACGTAGATTTAAGTTTTTATTTTAGTTATCTCTATGTCCTCCTTAATGTCTGGCCCAGAGGTCAGGATCTCAAAAAGTACCTACTGATCAGAAAGAAAAAACAGGAGGGGACACTTGAAAGTGGAAATAGGAGGGGAAATTACTTTTTGTCAAATCAAAGGAGAACTTAGGCAGAGCCATACAAAGAAAACAGAAATGACTTTTTAAAAGTCAAGGGTGAGCTAAAAAGCCCAATTAGTAAACTGAAGAAGCAAGAAGGTGAAAGGATTAGGCAAAACACACACACACACACACACACACACACACACACACACACAGGTGAGCAAAAGTAGGTTTACAGTTGTGAGTACATGAAACAGAGTTTATTCTTGCAATATTATTTATTCTTGTATTATATATTTTTTCATACAAACAACTATAAACCTACTTTTGCACACACACACATACACACAGACATACACAACAACATGATGATAGTCAAAGGGAAAGGGGTGAGGGTAGGTGGAGGTGGGCAAAGTAGGGAGAATGGGGATGGAAAGAGACTTTGCTTGGGGTGATGGATGCACGATGCAGTGTGCAGATGATGTTTTATTGAGTTGTATATCTGTATGGTTCTTTGAACCAATGTCACCCCAATAAATTCAATTTTTAAAAAAAGAATCAAGAGGCATTGGCAACACTGGGTTACATGGGAACAGGAAATTCACCAAGAGAATCCCTTACCACTGTTTTCAGGGGCTTTGAGTCTATATCAAAAAGAGAAAGTGGGAGGGTCAGCATGCTGCTGTTTCTGCTACTCTCTATGGTACATTCAAGGCAAATAAAGGACTCCTTCATTCGGATTGTATACAGGGCCTGCAGTCTCTCTACCTGGAAGACAGAGGAGGGGAGAGATAAGAAGGACACAAAGCCATAAGTGGACGAGGTCAGGATAATTTCCGGAAGTGGGAGCCACGACATAGAAGCTCCAGAAATGGCAGCCACTAATGTTCTTGGCTCTATTAAAAAAGGTACAAAATAATAACATTAATAATAATATGGAATTGTGATAAGCATTTTATAGAATTTTCTCTTTTACTAGTAACACCCTCTATACATTGCATTAACAATTGCTTAATGAGTTAAATGAGCAGCATCTTAAACTTTTTAGTTCTCTATTCCTAGAATCTTACCAAGTCCACATCAGTGATTTGGCCCTTAATTAGGTTCCAGATTGTGAAGTAGAGTTGAGCAGCATCATGCTGGACAAACACTGGCAAAAGAGACAAGTAACAGCCCAATTAGTGAAGTCACCACAAATACTTTTCATGCCCTTCTGCCCTAGCTACCTAGATGCACATGAGCACTCACCACTTTGCATTTTCCTAGCCTTTGTCTCATTTTAAGGCTGTTTCCACTACATGTTAGGAGTTAGAAATGGAAAAAAAAAAAAGGTTGGTATTGATTTTGCGAGTTCCTCTTAAAAATTAAAATCCAAATTTTCTGTCCTCTGATTTGCCACCCATACCTATTGGTCTCTACTCAGGGACACAGCTAGATAAAACCAACAGTCAACAGTGGATTCTTTCCTATGTCTACCAAGTATGCCAAACCAATACTCTAATTAGATTCCTATGGCCACCCATTTCTCTGTGTCTTTATGTACTTATTTTTAATTATTTATTGTTGAAAGTTTTACATATGTCTCCTTTTTCTCCATTGGCTTCTCCCTGGCCACCCTCCCCCCTAGCA